CCGAGCTTCGAGGTAAAGAAGTAAGCTCGGACGAGGTAAAAGTTGCCCCTATTCTTTCAGTCCCTTCCCCCTTGTCACCAGAACTCCTTGCAGTCCCCATGCCCAAGGATTTCAAACTCCCTACTCTAGACAAGTATGACGGGTCTTTTGACCCCAATGACCATGTCGATGCTTTCCAGTCCCAAATGCACCTGGCAAGGGCCAGCGAGTCTTGTATGTGTGTGGCGTTCACTACAACCTTCAGGGGAGTAGCCCGCACCTGGTATAAGAACTTGGCCCCCGGGTCGATAAGAAGCTGAACCCAGTTTGTGCAGGTCTTCACCGCACACTTTGTTACCAGCAAGCGGTGCCTCCGCACCGAGGAGAGCCTCCTCAGAATAGTCTAGAAGGAGAGTCCATCTGGGACTATATCAAACGGTTCAATGACGCATGCTTGCAGATACCGCGCCTAGACCCCATGGTACAGCTCGCGGCAGCCAAGAGGGGCGTGACACACAAGGAGTTCAGGTGGCACATGGTAGTCAACCAGCTCGCGACCGTAGCCGAGTTCCTCGAGCTCGCGGACAAATTCATAAGAACAGAGGAGGAGATCAACCAAAGGACTGAAGGCGGGATCGAAAAAAGCAAGAGGGAAGGCGAGCCCTCCAACTCAGATGACAAGAGAAAGAGAGACCCAGCTCGGGGGCCGAAGCCAAGCCAACCGTTCCGATCTGTTCTCCGCTCGATCTGCTAAGGGAGCTCGGAACGGTTGGCTTGGCTTTGGCCCCCGAGCTGGGTCTCTCTTTCTCCTATCATCTGAGTTGGAGGGTTCGCCTTCCCTCTTCCTTTGTTCAATCCTGTCTTCAGTCCTTTGGTTGATCTCCTCCTCTGTTCTTATGAATTTGTCTGCGAGCTTGAGGAACTCGGCTACGGTCGCGGGCTGGTTGACTACCATGTGCCACCTGAACTCATTGTGTGTCACGCCCCTCTTGGCTGCCGCGAGCTGTACCGCGGGGTCTAGGCGCGGTATCTGCAAGCATGCGTCATTGAACCGTTTGATATAGCCTCGGATGAACTCTCCTTCATTCTGGACTATTCAGAGGAGGCTCTCCTCGGTGTGGGGCACCGCTTGCTGGTAACAAAGTGTGCGGTGAAGACCTGCACGAACTAGGTCCAACTTCTTATCAACCTGGGGGCCAGGTTCCTGTACCAGGTGCGGGCTACTCCCCTGAAGGTTGTAGTGAACGCCACACACATACAAGACTCGTTGGCCCTTCCAGGTGCATTTGGGACTGGAAAGCATCGACATGGTCATTGGGGTCAAAAGACCCGTCATACTTGTGTAGAGGAGGGAGTTTGAAATCCTTGGGCATGGGGACTGCAAGGAGTTCTGATGACAGGGGGGAAGGGACTGAAAGAATAGGGGCAACTTTTACCTTGTCCGAGCTTGCTTCTTTACCTCGGAGCTCGGGCAGGATGCGGGTGGTAGTTCGGCGACTTCGCCAGCGTCTTCGTTGCTTCTTAGAGGGCCTAGTATTGGCGCTACTTGCCTCGGTGTTGCCGAGGTTGATCAGCCCGGACTGCTGGTAGTCCGCTGCCAAGACGCCGAACTGGTTCTCTGTGAGCGGGAGCTCGAACTTAGAGTGCCGAGGTGCTGACTTGACTGGCAAGGAGGTTCCCGATTCGCCAGCGAGCTGCGAGGCAAGGGTGATTAGTCTTTCCCTCCTGCCCGGGGATGAGGCCTGGCTCTTGGAGGGGTCCTGGAGTTGGGAGGCTCCTCCTCGGTGAGGGCGCCCGCCCCGTGGGGAGGGCTTGGCCAGTTTCGAAGCAGGGTGCCGAGGCGGGAGCTGTGGTTGGTTTAGAGGCAGCTGGGGGAACTACTGTTGATAGTGATACTGAGAGATGTGGTGTAGTACTTGTTGCTAATGGAGCTGATGTTGCTGGAACTGCTGCATTTGGGCTTGCATCGCCCGCATGCACTGCATCAAGTCATCAAACTGGTTTTGGAGTTAGAGGGACAGTAGTTGGTTCGGTGAAAGTTGTCTCGATAGGGAGGGGAAGGGGAACATTCACAGGTGTCACAATGCTTGGTGCATTGAGGCTAGGGATTCCGTCTGTTGAGAAGGGGACGGTGAACTGTCCGATGCATACGGTGGCGGGCTTTGGGTGTTCCCCTACAACATTCAAGTCGGCGTTGTGCCTGTTGCTGCTGGAGGAAGCCATGGAAGCTAAAGTTTCTTTGAGAGAGAGAGTATTAAAAGATTGGGGAGGCCTTTTGAAAGGTTCCCATAGACGGCGCCAAATGATGGAGTGCAATCCGGTCGATCCTAGTTGTCGGTTACCTCGCCTCTGATGGAATCGGGGGTGCCTGAAACAATGAAGGAAACGGAGACTTCCGGGGAGGAACCCGGTTGGAACACTCCGAAGCTCAAGTTAGTGTTCTTTAGAAGGCAAGGGAAATGAGGAATTCTAAGACCAGAAAATGCAAGAATCACCTACCCTCTTCTTTGTGAGATGGGGGCCTTTTATAATCACCCTGTACACATACTACCATACCTCTGCCAGTTCGGGTGTCATTTCCTCTGCTAGATCGGTTGTCCTTTCCTCTACTAGATCGGGTGTCATTTCCTCTGCCAAATCGGGTGTCATTTCTTCTGCCAATTACCACTTCGGGTGTCATAACCTCCACTGCCAGCTGCCAAGGCCGCCTCTGTCCGTCTGAGATGGCGGTGGCAGGTGGTCGTTAGATGGCGGTTGTCATGTGTCGGACCCCTAATCAGTCAGGTGCGCTGCCTCTGTGTACGGGTCTCTTGGGCGTCAGGTACGGTTGTTCAGTCAGGACACTTGGAGCCGAAGTGGTGTGTGAGGTGAAGTGTTGAGCTCGGATAGAAGTGTGGCACGAACTGCCTCTGGGTGGGCAGTTCGGGTCTTTGCCTTTTGTGCTTTTTGCAAGGCTCAGGACCTCGAAGGGAGAGCTTGGGTTCCTCCTTGGGGAGCTCGTGACTCTTCAGCTCGGAGCTCGGGTTGTAGGTTCCCCCTTTGTGGGAACTCGAGACTTTTTTCCTCGGAGCTCGAATTGTGGGCCCGCTGTCGTGCCGAGTTGGCGCTTCTGCCAGGTCACTCTCGGTTGCTTCCACGTGTCGTATGGCCAAGGGGTCGGGTCAAATCTTCCTCCATCAATATTATTATTATTATTATTTTTTTTTTAAATGCATCCCCATTAATAGATTCATAATCTTACCATGAGATTTAAGGGGAACCACTCTAAGTGAGCCGTTGCTTTAATTCCATAGGCCCGGCCAAGTGGTTGTTTTTATCAATAATGGTTAGTTAAGAAACTAGGGTCATCTAGAGCAGTTACCCCCGTATGAACTTTGAAGTAAGGTATTTTTGTCATCTAAGTTATAATCGATTTAGAAGGGTATGCCTGTAATTTAGTTGTAGACCAGTGGCATTTCTATTTTTTATACGTGGCAACCATTTGAGTTGGTATCTCCTCCCAACTTAAAACTGTCCTAGCACGTCCCAACATGTCTGCACATCTCACCATAAGAATGGAGTCCACCATTAACATTGAGACCTGTCATGCATGAGCTGTGTGGATTGTTGGGAGGAGACATCTGGATTCCTTTTATTCGTGCTATGATCTCCTAGCCATACCTTATTTTTGGAAAAACTCTTTAAAAGGCATTCATCGCAATTGTAGTGCCGTTGGATTCAAAGAATTCACATCTGCCCCCCCCCCTCCCCCTCCCCACTCCACAGAAAGTGCCCCAAAAACGTCCCATAGCACATCCCGTGTATGGGGGCAGATGTGAACTCAGATTCAAATCCATAATACTTACATTTAGTTTAACTAAGTCAAACGGTTCCTTTGGTTAGGTTAAATAAATGTTTCCAATTCATCGCTAATTTGGATGATTGAATTGTTTGAACCGTCATTTGATCCCATTTCTAGGTTTGGTTTTCCTAAAATCTGGAAATTGACAAAAAAAAAGTTATTGATTTGGTTAAAAAGAATTCAACCCAATGATTAAACCATTGATCATGGGTTATACACTAAAATGTATTTTGAAAATATCCGGAGGTTATAATTTAACAATTAAGATCTACTGCCCACAGGGAATCCTACCAACACCTACCCTCATGAGTCATGACACTATACTGTACATTGAGAACATTTTTGGTACGATTTATGGGGAGATGTTCCCAATATACAGCTATAGTGAGACGTGGGTATGTGTGGGTAGGGCTCCTGTGAGTAGGAGATCTAGTCTCATAATTTAGCGCCCAGTTGTCCAGATTGGGATGATCTTTCTTTCATTAGTTAAAGGCCCATGTGGCGTATCTTTTCGTACAGTCTTTCGGCTGAAGTCGGAAAGATCAAAAATCGGTTTATTTCCGTTTGGCACACAAAAAATTTAATCGCCAAAAGATGGGACGTCGAAAAGATGTACGAAACCCATTTTGAGTTGATTTCGGGAAGCTCCAAATGAAGTTTCCCGCATCTTTCGTGTTTTAATCTCGTGCGGAAAGATCCAAAACAATGCATCGAAAGACGTGTATTTGTCAAACAGTCTTTGGGCTGTTTAGATCTTATGTCAAAAGCTTAATACGTCTTTTGACTGTCAGAATTAACAAAAAGATCTTCTCAAAAAAACTCGCCAAATGGACTCTAAGTTTTATAAATATTGTAAAGAGCTGAGGACGCCTTGTCCCACTATTTTTGCCAAATAGCGGCCATTTTCATCAAGATTACTCCCATCCACTTGCAGCCAAACTGGGTCATTTTTTTCCCCATATACTCATCGCTCAAAATAGCATTTCTTTCTCCCTCTCCCCCCCCCCCCTCTCTCTCTCTCTCATGGTGGATATTCTTCTTTTTTTTTTTTTTTTCTTTTCCTTTCGGTAGGCAGGTGGTTGGATTTGATCAAAAAGAACAACGAGCTTTATCTGAAAATTAAGAACATTTGAGCTTTATTTAGAAGATAAAAAAAGCTAAATATTTATTCTATCAGATTCAACATAAAAGGATTACTGACCCCTTCTTTTTCTCTGTCAGTAAGTCAGTTTACAGAGTATTCAAGGATTAAAAAAACACCTTTGCGGCATTAAGTCCTGAATAATCTGCAAAAAATAAAATAAAATAAAAGAAGAAAGAAAAGGGCCAAAACACCTCTAAACAAACATTCTTACATCTTTCCTCCTTCGTGCACCATTTATGGGTGCAACATCTCAGTTGTCGTTATCATTAATTTGAACCAGATTTCTTGTTACTTCCCTCATTACTGAGAGCTTCCCTTCTCTTGGAGCTCTTCTTCAAAATTTGAGTCATTGAACCTGCAAGAGACATGGCAGGGTTCACTCTGATGAATTTGTTGAACCTTTGACAGATTTGCATGTGAGCATGTAGAGCTTCTTCCCATATAATATGCCGTGCTGTACCGATCCTCTGAGACTCCTCTCTGACAGCCTCTGAACACAGCCCACACACCCACCTGCCACAGAACCGGGCCCTGACTTGCCGGATGTAGGCACGAGTGCAGTCTTCAAAGAGGCCACAACACTCGCACTCTACCCTTCTCACATCGTTACTGATAATGGTGGACTGAGAGGGGACCCTTAGATCCATGTACTTGGATATACCCATTTCGGACGATATGTCCGATACTGCCTTCTGTATCAGATCTAAGGATAACCTCCTTGTCCTGGTTCTGAGCGCCATTGTTGGTTTCTGCTGCTCTTATTCCTCCTCTGTGCATATTTTGGGAGTTTGTGGGCGGTTTTATAGGAAAGATATTTTGGTGGTGTAACGTTTGATTAAAATGTCTGCTCAGCAAAGGCCCTCGTTGATGTAGAGATTTGTGAATGACTGCACTTCCCTTTTTGTTGCAAATTGCATCCAAGATTATCACAAGAAAGAAATGCATTCCTTTAATGAAGATAAATGTGCTGTTTGTTTATAAGTGAAGTAGGTAGTGACCTCAAGTTTATATGTGACTGATGAAAATGGACTGCAACTGTTATGTGGATTGTAGCTAACTACTCATTGTCTCATTCTTCTGAAATGGACCACTGTAATTGTGGAGATTCTAAGGTTTAGTTCATCACAGCCTGGGTCTTCACTCTTTTGTTTTCCTTCTTTTGAACTATGGTTATAATCAGAGGCTAGCCTTGTGCAGAAAGGAAGGGCTCCAATTGGCTAATGCTCCAAATAAATGGTACGTAGTTGGAAGTTTCTTTCTTTTGATAATTGTGGCTGTTAAGGAATGATAGGAAAATGTGGTAAATGACAGTTGGTAGGTAGTTTATTTGGCATCTTGTGGTTGTTAATGAGGGGAGTGAAAATATCAGTTGGTTAGGTGGTTCACGAGATTATGGTTGCCATGCATTTCTCTTTTTCCAAGCAAAAGGGTTGGGGATTTCTTTTCCTTGGTATAAAGCATGGTTGGAGGTTAAATTGCAGTCACTTGGTGTTCCTATGACAGAGATTGAGACAGTAGTTGTTATCAATCATAGTTACTTATTATCAAAAGGAAGTTAAGGATATCATCTATGGCCATAGGTTGTCATCATGTGATTTCCGGGTCAGGGCGGACCCAGTCTTGACCCGAAAAAGTGAATGTGTAGAACCAGTTTCGAACCAGACACTGGAGTGCATATGAGACCCACTGGTCATAACACAGAGAGCCTTCCCTCCAGTTTCATCCGGCGTGACGGGATTTCTTGCAAGCTCTGCACACAATCTACAAATTCAGGCGTCAAGCCACACATTAGTAACATCTCATCCCTATGAATTTAGCATATATATACAAGAAATATTTCTAACGTGGAGCTGAATGCCGTGTACATAGAGTTTTTAATTGCAGGAGATTCAGGCTCTCATCTTGCACCTCTAAATTAAAGGAGGTGCCAAGTGACCATCTTGACTACCGAGTGAGTCATTGACATCTTATATTCATCCAATTGCAGCACCTGACTCTTCCCCTTGGTATAAACTAAAGGCTTATTTGGTTCATGGGAATAAGGGTCTGGAATCGAAATCAGAATTCGGGGGTCCTTTTTTTGGATTTTGAGAGTGGGGAAAGTTGGTTAATGGGATTTTGGTTCCCATTGACCAAGAATCCCATATTCTTTTTTCAGATTTATGTGGAAAATAGGGAAAGTTTATTTTTCTGGGTATCATTTACCCGGGTAAGTGATACCCATCTCTTAGATGGGTAAATAACTTTCCCACCTAGGGAAAAATTGCCAACACTTGAGTGGGGCAAAAATTCCCCTTTTAATAATGGATTTTTATGGCTAAAATGGTCATTACCTTATTTACATGAGAAATTAAAGAACATGGATAAATGCATTTACCCAGGTAAATAACTATCTGAAAAGCAAATATGGCCTATAATGGATCACTCCGATTCCAGCTGTTTGGTTGGGAAGAATCAGAATCCAATTCACATTCTTGCTGAAATGGCATTTCCATTCCATCTATGATAAAATGGCATTGGTTCATCCATGCAACTACACTGCACTTATGCATGCCGTGGTACCACAGTAGCATATTAGTATTTTTCTCTCTAATTAAGGATCCATTTGATTCACAGGAATATGGGACTGGAATCAAAATCGCAATGGCCCATTCCAATTCCAACCATTTGATTGTGTGAGATTGATGTTTGGTTCCCACTCCTGTAAAATGGTATTCCCCATTTATGTAAATGGTCATTCTCTCCAGTATATGAGAATTCCATTACAGGTGACTCCGGTTCTGATTTCAATTCCTATCTGAACCAATAAACACCTGAAGGAATATGCCATTCCAATTTCAAATTTGAGGGATTTTGATTCAGATTCCAATTTCAATTGACTGTAAATAAAACAGACACTAAAATAGTTATTTTGGGTTTTTTGGGACTTTGAACAAACATGGCTTATAGGCTGTTTCGGATAGGGCCTTCCTAAAGTCAGAAGCCACAAAGTACGTAAAAGCCCTCTCCCAAACGGGCACGTAGTGACTCTAACAATTGCTGTCACCATTGTTAGCAACTCAGCGTAAGTAGCAGTAGAAAAATCTAAATGGGAGATGCAAACTAAAGAAGGAATCTGGTGGGTGAAATCATAATTAAGGGGCATAGGACCGATAATTGGGCCTTGGCCCATATCCAAGGTTGGAAGCAGGGGGTCTATGTGCATCCCCCCAAGGAAAGAAAAGAAGCTACATGTATAAAAACCTGACTTCAGTGCTTTGGCCAAATGCCCACGTCCTTAAACAAATACAATCAAAACAAATCTGTCTAAGAAGATAATAAAGAAACATATAATTAGAAAAAAAAAATGCCAAAGGAAGCTTAGCTTTTGAGACTGATCCCATTTTACAAAAGCATTTTGAAAGCAAAAAAGGCTAGCTAGCTACGCATTTAAAAATACACGGCAGGGATGTGCTGTAGAACGTTGTGGGGAGCTGATTTGAACTCCCTAGAACGATCCTCCATTTCAATGCATCTAGTAAGGAGAGCAGCAAAGCACATCCGAAAATTAAAGAAGACAAGAGCGACGACCTCCATTGATGATCACATTAGAGGAAAACTCCCAAATACCATTCGCTGCAAAACTGTCATTGGACGAAAATGAAACTACAAATGAAATCGTCAAAGGATGAACCATTTCATTCGCTGCTGCGCGCAACCAATATTTCATTTTCATAATTTGGGTCATTGCCGGAGGACAATAGACAACCAGTCGAGCAAACGTCGCCCGGAGTTGAGGAAGAAGGAAGGGCATACTCTTCTCTTGCTTAATTTTGACGGACGTACGTACGTGTCCTTGAATATAATGGCAGAGGCAGGACTCACTCAAACGGTAAACTCACCACCACAACGCTCCACGACATGAGGACCCCAAGGCCACGCCTCCATGTTTCTGTAAACGTATGTATTTTTAAATGAGGTTGCTTTAACATCCACCACCCTTTTCTCTTTCATAAAAGCAGGAGGAGGAGGAGCAATACTCAACTCGACATCCGGAGGCAGTTTTGTTCTCATCTCATCAATCTTCTTTGTTTCCAGTTGAGCAGCTTCGTCACTGCATTTGAATTGTCCATCATTATTATAGTATCTCAAGCAGCGGTGGAAGGTCACTCTCCTGAGAGCCAGAGCATTGGCAAGCATATGATACAATAGCAAATCCATCTCAAGTGGAACCAAAGATCCACTTATCTCAACCTCAGCCAAGCAACTGTGCCAATACCTGGAATTTTTCGATATATATAAATTTCTACGCCATGGAAAACCACCATGAACATCCAACACAAATCTACACAATCTGGGCATTGCCTTGACATGAGAATGCAAGTGAAAAAGCCCATGAAAGTTTCGATATACCATCAACATCAACTCCTCAGCATTATCAAACAAAGTCAACTGTCTTTGCTATCTTGTCTGACATGATAGACAAGCAGAACAATACTAGTGTCTCCAGTTGAGGAAGATCATTACTTGCAGATCCACCCACTCTTTCTTCATCATCATGGATCAAACCAGAAAACCTGACTTCATTTTCAGTTTCGGTGGTATCCCCAAATTCGAATCTCCTGAGATTACTAGCATAGAACTTGATCTCCCGCAGATTGCAACATATGTTTACTCCCAAGCACTTGAGTTGAGGAAGAGATGGCCCTGCTATTTTTAAGCTAACCAATTTGCTGCAGAAATAGAGGTATAATTTTTCCAGACGTGGAGTGTTAGACAACATATTCTCCATGTCTTTATCCACTATATCCACATTGTTCAGAGTAAGGTTTGTAAGGAGTCCAAAACCTTGGAAATCAGAAGGGTTCAAGATACAACAGCTCATACTCAAAAGCTTTAAAGAAGATGCTGTTTCCGGAGGAAAATTGCAAGGAAATTGATACCGACGTTTTCTGGGTAGGGTTAGGATGGATTGTCTCATAAGTAGTAAAGTCCAGAATGATGCTTTCAGCCCCTTTAACTAAATCAGTACGAATCCATTCGTCAATGCAACAAGCGAACTCTTCATCCAAATGAACGAAATTCTCAGTTGGTCTATCTTTGGACCTCGGCGGTGAAGCCGCATAATCCGATTAACCAATCCAACAAACTTACGCATTGCCTCCCTCCATTCCTTGTTCTGGTAATGATAACCCAAGTCTTCTAGATATGAAGCGTCTACGAAGATGCTATCAGCGTCGAAGTTGAGGCTGGAGACAGACGCCACCGGAAGATGACCAGAGGTGTCTCCATCTACGAGAAAGAATGCTGGTTCTTGCACCATCTTTCCAAATCAAAGATGACAAAATAGAACGAAGAATTTCATCTGGCAATTTGCTTATCCGATCCTCCTTCACGCTCTTGTCAAAGCTCGATTTCCATTTCGTAGGAAATTTGATACAAAATAATTTCTTTCTTTTTCCTTTTGCTGCGTAAAGAAGGCAAATTGTTAAGAGGAAATAAAATAGGAGAGAATACCAGGTGGAGGGCATTGAGACCAACGTACGTACGTAGTAATTAATGTGAATGTGATCGATCGATCGATCGATCGATACTCTGTTACAAGTGAATGGGCTATAACACTACGATGACGATGAGGTACATGGGGTAGAAGATAATTAATAGATTCAAATTTAATGGGTAAACAACGAAACATCCTGGATGATCGATAGATTCACACCGCCACGACAGAAGAAAGGTTTGGCTATTTCAAGGAAGCTTTCCTTCACAGAGAATATATG